GGCGGAAGTGCTAGACTTCAGGAAGGCCAACTTCAGCAAGCTCAGGAGATTACTTAGGGAGGGACTGACTGGCAAAAGCCTTGGAGAGATGGGAGTCCAGGAAGGGTGGGCGTTTCTCAAGGGACTAATCCTGCAGGCACATAAAAGGACCATCCCAATACACATAAAAGGGGGCAAAAAAGCAAAGAAACCCTCTTGTTTGAGCAGGGAAATCCAGGAGAGCCTGAAGGGGAAAAAAAGAGGCCTACAGGCTGTGGAAGCAGGGGGCTGCCACCAAGGAGGAATATACCCTGGCTCAAGCTTGCAGAGAAACAGTGAGGCGACCCAAAACGGAAATGGAGCTTAGGTTGGCAGCAAAAGTTAAGGATAACAAAAAGTCTTTCTTTAAGTACATAGGAAGCAAAAAGAAGTTGCAGGAGAACTTAGGGCCCCTTCAGGATGAACTAGGGCAACTGGTAACAGATAGGATGGCCAAAGCAGAGCTTCTAAATTATTTGTTTACTTCTGTGATCCTGGACACGAATACAAATATGCATCCCATTGAGACCTTAGGTAAGCCCAGTATAGATACCAACCCACCAACTGTTTGTGCTGACCGAGTAAAGAGACACCTGGAGGGGTTGAATGTATTTAAGTCAACAAGCCCTGATGATCTTCATCCTAAAATGCTTAGGGAATTAGCTGGAGTCATAGTGGATCTGCTGGCACAACTGTTTGAGCACTCATGGCGCTCAGGACAGGTCCTGGAGGATTGGAAAAGGGCCAATGTGGTCCCTATTTTCAAGAAGGGGAGGAAAGAGGAACAGGGTAACTATAGGCCAGTTAGTCTCACCTCTATCCTTGGCAAGGCATTTGAAAAAATTGTTATGGATCATATTTGTGGGGGACCAGCAGGTAAAATTATGCTAAGGAGCAATTAGCATTGGTTCATAGCAGGAAGATCCTGCCTGACTAACCTGGGTTCATTTTATGACCAGGTCACAAAATGCTTGGATGAAGGAATAGAGGTAGATATTATTTACTTAGATTTTAAAATGCCTTTGATGCAGCATCATACCCAATTCTTATAAATAAACTAAACAGTTGCCATGTAGATTATTACAGTCTGGTGGGTAGAAAATTGACTTATGGGACACACCCAGAGAGTGGTGGTGGAAGGGTTGGTTTCTACCTGGAGAAATGTAGGCAGCAGAGTCCCCCAAGGCTCTGTCCTGGGACCGGTACTATTCAATGTCTTCATTAGTGACTTGGACAAGGGAGTACAAAGCACCCTGTCCAAGTTTTCTGATGACACAAAACTATGGGGGGCGGTACACAAACTAGATGGCAGGGAGCAAATCTAGGCTGATTTGGACAGGCTGGAGAAATGAGCCGAACAGAATAGGGTGCAGTTTAACAAGATAAGTGTTATGTGTTGCACATGGGGAGGAAGAATCATCAACACTCCTATAGCATGGGAGGTACCATTCTAAGTAGGACAACTGCGATAAGGGATCTCAGAGTCAGAGTAGACTCCAAAATGAACATGAATCACCAGTGGGATGAGGTAATAAGTAAAGCTAACCACACCCTGTCTTGCATAAGTAGATGCATCACAAACAGGTCTAGGGAGGTGATACTTCCCCTCTACACGGCATTGGTCAGGCCACTGCATCCAATTCTGGACACCGCACTTCAGGAGGGATGTGGATGGCCTGGAGAGGGTTCACAGGAGGGCTGCTCATCTGGTTAAAGGCCTACAGAAAAAACCCTATATGGACCGATTGGGAGACCTGAACCTCTTCAGCCTCTGCAAGAGGAGGCTGAGAGGTGATCTTGTGGCCACCTACAAACTCATCGGGGGCAGCAGCAAGAAATAGGGGATACAATGTTTACCAGGACACCTGTCAAGGTAACTAGAAATAGTGGTCACAAATTGAAACAGAGCAAATTCAGATTGGACATCAGGAAAAAATTATTTACAGCAAGGGTTGCCAAAATATGGAATAAGCTTCCAAGGGAGGTGGTGCTGTCCCCTTCCTTGGAGGTATTTAAAAGGAGATTGGAAAGACACCTGGCTGGGGTCATCTGACTGCAGGACTCATTCCTGCCCAGGGCACAGTGTCAGACTCGATGATCTAATAGGTCCCTTCCAACAGGAACATCTATGAAACTATGATTAACCTTTACAGCCATTAGGAAAAATCATGACCAAAGAGAAGGCAGTAAAGTCTCCTTATGTCCTTTATTTTGGCTGAGGAGCTTTATCTCTTCCCTCTATTCTTTTAATTTTTCAAAAAGCTCCTCATTTTCCTTTTCCAAATTTCTAAAGAGGCCCTTAAAGGTCTGATTTGACAATTCCACCTGCTCATATTTTTCCCTTAAATTTCTAATTTGTTCCTCTAACAGTTTGTTTGCAGCTGCTCGATCAGACTTCTCTCCCACTGCCTTTTTAACAGCCTGCCATAAAAGCCACACTGCATCCCTGTGCTGTTTTTGTGCAGATAGGTGACCACACAAACAGTACTTCTCAAACTGGCTGTTAAGATGGGAGAGAGTGAACCTAGCAGGTGGGGGGCAGAGGAGGCACGTATCTTTCATCCAAGGAGATGGTCCTCCCTTTAATACTTCTTTCTCTAAACTTGAGAGTTCCTCCTTAACAGTCCACTCGGATGGTTCCTTCACTTCCTGGTTAGACCCAGACCTTTTCTTAAACATTTTAAAAACAATGGGGAGACTTCTCCCTCTAAACAGTGGTCTCCCCTGTAAGGGAGACTCTTTAAACAATGGTCTCCCCCTCAAGGGAGACTCTCTAAACTTGGTCATGGGGACACCTTCCTCTAGACCTAACAGCTGTCCTCCCTAGGACAGTTCAAATGCCCAACCTTTCCGTTGAAAGGTATCCCTCCCTCACAACCAAGGGGAGGTCCTCCCAGTTTGTACAGTGTCACCCCAAAAGACTAAATGGTGCCCGCATTCTCCACCAGATAATGTTTGACGAAAGACCAACATGCAGGTACAGCAACCAAGGTCTTTACTGAGTGACACACATAGATCAAGTAGGGAAAAGCAATGCTCCATCTAAAATCATACTCACACAGACATACTCACAGGCCAATCCACTGGTGTTCAGGTTCAGTCACAATGGCTAGTTGCAGTGCCTCTAGAAACGATGATCTTATAGGAGGGACGCCAGTAGTTTTCTCCTGATGGGATGTGGATGCCATACAGCATTGTTGAGGCCTGGTCTTCACTGTCTTTTTATATACTTCGTTTAGGCAAACTGCTGCAGTACCCCTGACAACCCACTCAGCCAATCACTTTGTTGTCATTGAGCTGGCTCTAGTCACATACCTCATGGCTTAGGTATGCAGATGGATGGATGGGTAGTGAGAAGTTACTTTAATTTGCAACATCCTGAAACAGGGAGACAAGGTTGTCTGCTCTGCTTGTAGATAGTTTGTTTGTTCTTCTGATCTTCCTGTTCTCATGGCTGCTTTCTCAGCTTCAAAAACACATTCACTCTTTCACTCATGCATTCATATGCAATTACTTTTTATTGCTTAACACATGTGTGGACACACCCTTAATGCACCTTAAAAATGGCAATTTTAGACTAATCCCACTTAAAAGAGCCATGTGCAGACAAGCCCACTGATTTTTGTTTGACATTATTACTTTAACTATCACATAGTGAAAGTTCAGAGAACTGGCTGAGAGCCTATTGTTGTTAGAAATAAAGTGCTTGCCTGAGTTCATCAGAGCCTTGGGAAGCTGGTGCTTGTATAGGTTACCTTTAAACCATTCAATGTATGTGGAATATTAGGCAATGTTAAACTTAGTACAGTTTCAGAACAGTCACAGATTAAGACTTAATGCCATCTTTGATCTCCACAACTGTGACTTGCCATTAGAGACCCTGGCAAGCAGAGGCATAGCCAGGAGCCAGGACTCTATTCCTTCTCTGGGAGCTCAGGGGAATTAAGTGAAGTGAAAGCATGGAGTCTGGGGAAGCATGTCTCCCTGGGTTCCTTGTTCTCGCTGCTTGGTGGCTCCAGTCCCAACACGGAGCCATTGAGGATTAACAGTGCAGCATGGACCCAAGAGAACCATGGGTTCCATATGATTGCCAGGCTTGGTGCTAGGCAGCCCTTTCCTCTCTTCCCCCAGGAATGCAAGAGCCTGGGGAGGGAAGCCAGAGTCCTCCCTACCCTTCCTCCCCAAAACGTTTCTGCCTAGAGAGCTGCATGGATGTGGGGCAAAGGCTTAGCCCTCTGAGGGGAGGGCCATATTCCTGGCCTCCAGCCCAGGGGCCTAGATTGGGTCTTCTGGGATCCAAGGAGCTGACAGTGTTGTGTCAGGGTGGGTTGGGGTGTTGGCTTGGAGCTAGGACCACCCTCTGAGCAGTAGAACTTAGGAGGGTGAAAACTTTGTCAGGGATAGAGGAGCTGGGAGCTCTGCATCCTGGGATGCTGGATGACTACAACTTGGTCACTTTATCTCCATGTGGCAGACTAACAATATCCTAGCTCAAGCTATATAAAATGGCTCAGAGATAACACCCACCTGAAGTGGCATAACTTTAAATTATACTGGGTACCTTATAAGCATCTTAGCACACTTTAATGTGCTCCCATTTTAAGTTACTTTAGACTGATTTAAAGGTAACCTGTAACACATAGTTACACATAATTTAAAAGTGAAACTACAGATTGGTCCAGTTTCATTTGAAAGTAGATCCAGGTTTTTTAAAAGCATTAGAAACCTTGTTACCTGTTAATAATCTAATTTGTTCTGAGTTGGTAATAAAACCTAATAAACATGTTATTTCTTTACATGCCTTGACTGCCTGGACTAGATCACTTGGTGAGCTTTCTCCAGCTCTATTTTCCTATGAATACTGCTGACAGTCCTAATACATTCTGTCTGTCTTCTCAAAATTTTGGAATACCACATTTCAATTTTTCAGAACAGCGACAGCGGCCCTTAGCAACGAGCCGGGCCGGGCCGGGCCGCCTGCCACCATGGCCACCGCCACCAGCCCCAGCGTCTTCCTACCCATGGTGACGGGGCAGATCGAGAGCGCCCAGTTCCCAGAGTTTGACGATCTCTACTGCAAGTACTGCTTTGTCTACGGCCACGACTGGGTGCCCACCACGGGGTTGGAAGAGGGAATATCTCAGATCACCTCTAAAAGTGGAGATGCACAGCAAACCCTTGTGTGGAATTTTCCGATTGACATCACCTTTAAAAGTACCAACCCCTATGGCTGGCCTCAAATAGTATTAAGCGTTTACGGACCTGATGTCTTTGGAAATTATGTTGTCCGTGGTTATGGAGCTGTTCGTGTTCCCTTCACGCCTGGAAGGCACAAACGAACGATTGCTATGTTTGTTCCAGAATCGACATCAAAGCTGCAGAAATTCACAAGCTGGCTCACAGGAAGGCATCCGGAGTTCACCGACGCAAGGGTGGTCGCCAAGGGAGAAGGATGAGAAGTGACCAGGGTGCGTTCTCAAGGCTTCGTGACCATTTCCTTCAACGTCGTGACTAAAGACATGAAGAAGTTAGGTTACGATGTAAGCCCGAGTGACATGCAGAACCCTTCCCTAATGTCTCTGACCGAGGGGATTCATAAATATTAAAGTAGACAGGAGCTTTCCCAAGGCACGAACGGGAGTGACTGCCCACGCTGACTTCTGTTCTTCCGCTGGAATTGAATGACTTCCTGTTCTGTTTTGCCTGTATCTCTACTTTCCGAATAAACTCCAGCCGGTTTGGCCTCTATGATATTATATTGCACGTACGTACAAAACGCAGTGCAACGTGTTAAGCATACAGGGTTTTTGAAAATGTGTATGAATCCTAATGCTGTTGGATTAGTAAATGGTTATCATTTTAAGATACTGTAAGCAGTTTCAAGACACATGGTGCATAACAAAACACTTTTTATAAAAGAACCTTTTGTACATTCTTATTTACTTACAGAATTCATGTTTTTACATTGTTAAATGTTTTCCTCATACTCAGAACATTAGCATGAACCCGAAGCCATTTACTAATGCTTTTATAATAGTCGTGTGAAATCCAAATTGAAATACCTTCAAAAGAAAGGGAGTCTGAGAATGTTTAATGAAACAGTCACGCTCTTTCCTCTACCACGGCAGCGTTTCTTGTTTGTGCAGCTATTGCAGGTTTCCATTATAATCCCATTTCAGTGCTTTAGAAGTTGCCTGTGACTAAGATGTTGAATAAACTGTAAAAGTAAATCCTCCCAAAATTATCAGCAAGAGCAATTTGGCTTTTGCTTTTAAAACAAGTACTGGGCACGCATGGACACATGCACATACTGCTTTCCCATTTCCAGATTTTTTTACATTGCTTTCCCATTTCCAGATTTTTTTCCCCCAATCAAGCCCAAAGCAAATCCTAAGTGGTTCATTTTCGGGGGGGAAATAATTCACTGTGTTCAGCGTGTCCTTGCTGCAAGCTCTTCAGTCTCATTTACGTGCAGCGAGGGTGAGGATCTGGGAAAAGGCAAATACAGTCCAAGCACACAGGATATGGGCACAGCCACAAGCAGTGGGCACTCCTCTACCCCAAAGGGCAGTAGCTGCCGCAGGGGTCACTGGCAGGCCGGCCACATCTCTCTCCCTACATGTCCATTTAGAGTCTGCGCTCTGTCCACTTGTGCCAAAGATATTTCTCCCGTCGGCCCAGCTCTACAAAGCAATAACTCTCGGATGATGGCCCTGGGCCTCTGCCAATGCAGCACCTGCAATACCTCATTCTACCGCCTGGGCAAGATCAATGGACAGAAGAGGGGCTTTGATGGAGGTGTATTTGTTTACCCTGGAATTACACCGTGGCTTTCTGTACTTGGCCCGCACGGTAAAAAGAATAATCAAACCGCACTGAATTTGACAGGCAGGCTTTTCTCCGCTCCTTAATTCTCTCCCTGGGGTTGGGCAGTGCTTGTTCAGCTCATCACAGTGACTGCTCCCTGGGCTCAGGGGTCTGCAGTATGAGGGTGCTGAAAATGACCTTCGTTTTGCAGAGCTTCTCTTGATGCCGTCTCCTGATGCTTTTCGATGAGTCCTGTTGTAAGCCAGGACTAGTGATCTCTGCCTTTGGAGTGAAAAAAACCAAGTACAAACATTTCTCTTTGTGTCCTCTGTGCTGCTTTTTCTGTCTCGGGGAAACATGTTAATCCAAGATCATCTTGTGCCCTTTGTACCTGAGGTGAGTGTGTAAAATCCACTGTGAGAGAATTTCGTCGGTTTGAGAGTAAATTCTGGGCATGCAGATTTGCAAAGTTTGGTCTCAAAAGCTAGAAGATCAGATTTAATGTGATCCCTGTCTCATATGGAAATCAATCACGGAGACATTAAAAAAACAGCACAAACAAAAAGTACCAGGCATTGGGCGTACGTATTATACAAAGAGCACTGCTTGTAGTACTCTAGTTCCTCATGCTATAGAGCAGTCCACGTGAACACTTTATTTGGAAATATAATTTGCAAAGCTAATATAAAGCATCTTGGAATTTTTTTCTGTTCCCTAGTATGTTTTGTACGGCCAATGAATGGTTTTATAAAGTGCGTTCTCCATAAATTACTTTTTCATACATTAAAAAAAAAAAAAAAATTTTTCAGAACAACTTTTTATAGGAACTGGTTAGAAACTGGAAATCCCCTTCATTTCTGATCATGATGAAAACAAAAGTTCAGGGAGGTTTTTTGTTTGTTTGATTTTGTTTCTTTTTGGTTTTTACAGGAAGCAATTTATAGAAAATACGCATTTGAGGATAAACAAAATGGAATTTCTCAACTCTCCAATTTTCTTGCTAACTCTCCAGCACAGTACATCTTGCTACTTGTTTTCTGTAGATGCAGGGAACCTATTGTTTAAGTAAATTTGAATTGAAGGAAAATTTATGTGAAATTCTGATTTTTTGAAAAATGACACTTTTTATTAAAATCATGTTGACAGAAGATTCCCAACAGATGCAATTCTTTCATCTTATTTTTTGTATTAAAATATAAAATAAAATGGGTGAAATCAAAATGAAACACTTTGATCTTGTCAAAAATGTTGATCCATCCAAATTATTTTACCCTAAATATTCTCTCTCAAAACATTTCTAACAAGACTGAAAATAGATTTTAGAAATCTTGGAATACCTTGAAAGTGGAAGATCAGTCCTGTGTATTCTCTGGACAGCTTTAGTTAGCTGGTGAACTGGCACAGAGGAAGAAGGGAAATTTTCGTACTGACCATTTAAAATTAAGCCTTCACCCCTCACAGCAACTGGAACTCTAGAGTAGATTATGGATCACTCAACTCAACACACAAAATTTATGACCTAACACAAATCTCAGCAGTCCCCCCTCCCCTCCCATCTGTTCCCACATCAACAGTCAAGGCATGGGCCAAAATTTACAGTAGGCATGTACAGATGTTCAGTTTTATCACTAAGAATTTCTCCGAAAAATAGCCCAGAAACTGAAGCATACACAGCACACACCTACCAAAGGGCATTAAAGAGTTGTTTCTTTGGGCACACCCACCCTTATAGGAGTTCATTACATAACAGCCTGTCCTCTCCCCTATCTGGGAGGGGCAGGTTGTCAATAAGCAGATCTTTGGCTTCTATCTGGCCTGCACATGGCATGATTTAAAACCAGAGGTGCAGGGAAATGAGGCCAGGGACAGCTTCCTCAACCCAGGGTCCTAGCTCCCCAGCTTTGAAATTGCCATGTGTGCTGCCCATCTGAGTTAGCACTCATGGCATTTGAAGTCTTTGAGGCTCTGAACTGGGATGGGGATAGCTTTCCCAACCCTAGTTATTGACCCTGGGGCCTTTGCAATCCCTGTACCAACTATCCAGCTGGGTAGCAGGGGCAGCATATAAAACACAGGAGCCAGGCAGGGAGACAACCTCCCAGAACCTATTCTCTATCCCAAGGAATTACTTGCAGCTTCAAAGCTGCCTGAGCCCAGGTAACATTACAACAGTAGCACACAGGTCTCCCATACGCAACATGTCTCTTGTTCTACCAGGAGGTGGGTGTGTCGGGAGGGCAGGGGAAATCTTCCTGCAGCTGCAAAGTTGCCTAAATGCAAGGGCCTTTGCATGGGAGAATTGTCCCCTGGCCCAGCCCTCCACATGCCTCTTACTGGAATGCACCAGGTGGAAGATTTTTCTGGCAACGAGAACCCTCCCAGTGCTCCAGGAGGGTTCCTGCCTCAGAAGAATGTCCCCCCCTCCCAACAGTCAGCTGATTGGCAGGACATCTCATCCCAGGGTGGGCTGTCAGTGAGCCAGTGCTTTTTCTCACCCACTCTTCCTAAGAGGGAGAGGAGAGCAGAGGACTATGGGATACTGGGTGTGCTCAATCCCCCCAAAAAGCATACAGCTATTCAAATTAGTGTGGGAGGGAAGAGATCTCCCTGCTTCTACCAGGTAGAAACTTCTTGCAGAAAAGTCATTTTCCTTCCACAAGGAAGCTCTTGAATATCTATGTGGTCTTCTTTTTGGGTAAGTAGAAAGACTTTCCTCCAGTCACATATAGAACAGCTATATGTGTCATGAGCTTTAACACAAATATGCAGCTGACCTTGTTTCTCTGCCTACAGTTTCTGAAGTGTAGCCTGATTAATTATTACCTACATCAAATGCAGAGAAACATCATTCCTTGAAGACAGTTGTAAGTCCTATAGAGAACAAGGATCTACCCTGTCAAAACCAGTCAGTGTGCAATTGCTCAATAGGTTTTACTTGCAAAGTCAAAAAATCTAGGCCAAACAGAGGATTTTCTTACATGTATTCAAGAAAATCCTGAAGGAAATAAGGCTAAGGCAGGAACCATGTACACTTCTACAAAATCAGCTTCTCTGAAGGGGAAGTGCAAAGTTAAATAATAAAGATTTTTTTTAAAGTCAGAAAAAAACCCAACAAAACAACCACCTCCTTCCCTGAAAAACTGTTAGAACTTGCTCAAAATGTGTGTAAAGTGTATGGATTGCTTCAGTGAATCTGTTTTGCCCTGCCACCCAAAACCACGCCATTTTATTATTAAAATGTTGCACAGTTCTAATGTATATATGTTCAGTGGTCTTACATAGGAGTGTTCTATCTAAATTACAGAGACTGACCAATGCTTCAAATTAAGTATCAGCCACACTCTATTTACTTATGCCTGGAATGGCAATTAACTTCACTGCCTAATAGAGCCTTATGTACAAGGCACAAGTGAATTAAGCCAGCTAGTCATACAATCATGTTTTTTTTTTTTTATCAGCATTGTTCATATTTTCCTGTGAAAAAGTTACAGTTTTCACACATTTCTTGTACGATTTTTTGTTTAAAAAATCTAAAACTTTGGTATTTTTGAAATTTTACTTTATATTTTTTAAATATTAACTGTACTACCACAACACCTAAGTATGAACCAGGTCACCATTCCATGTACAACTGGATCTTTTGAGCATATTTTA